AAAACCTGTTTCAATGTTCATAATGTCACCTGACCGTTGCTTTAAGACAGACTTCGTGAACATGTCCTTTAATCCTGAGGACGACAGAAATACATGAATAAAACAGCTTCCTGTGTAACCTCTTCTTGGTGGGGATATGGTTTTTCTCTTGGTTTTCCAGTGTTTCACTAACCTGATGGTATATATCATAATATGTTGTGTCCTTTTAGAGATGAGGAAGACGAAACACAGAACAGAAACCAAAGAAGTGAAAGGAGCTCATCATTCTGGCACAAAGAAAAAGGAGAAACCGCACTCAAGCCAGGTGAGGATGAAAAGCTTCACCGCAGTCTTCTCAACCACTTCACTTATCGATGCTAAACTAATGAAACGTTATGTACCACTGTCACGAATACGGCACAAAATAAAATCACTGTCTGTCCAACCTGAAGTTTGAGCAGCAGTAAAATGAACCTGTTGTTAGTTGTGCAGACTCGTGGTCACATCACACAAGGCCATTTCGTGCCACTTGCTTGTGACATCCAGAGAGCCTCCGGTGGCCTAAATGGCACAATAATTTATCACAAACGACGAATGGGGTTTAACACAGTGCAGATGGTCCAAAGAGGGTGCTGCGCTCTGTGTAATCTCTGGTCCACATGGCTAGAGAGAGATGTGAAAACAAGAGGAGAACTGAGAGGCCTCATGCCAGCTCACCCAGTGCCCATTCTGACTAATGATCATCATAGTGAGAAGCAAACAAGACTGAGCTTGCCAGTATAGTGGATCAGCAGCAGCAGCTCTCAGTGCCCCAAAATGTGCTGCTAAAAGAACCACTGATGGAAGATATTGTTTCTACCCTTTTCTATAAATAACAACCAAATAAAAAATAAATAAAAAAAGACTTTAATTAAAAAAAGTCTACATCCTAGTGACTCTGTGCGGATATTTAAAAAAAAGACAAAAACATCTCATGGTGGCACTAGAGCAGGGGTCTTCAACGTTTTTCAGGCCAAGGACCCCCAAACCGATAGAGAGATGGAGCAGGGAGCCCCAACTATATATAAAATTGTGTTTTATATTAAATGGGCCTAGTACCGTGTATAAACATACCTCTTTATTGTGCATTCAATACTAAGCTATTCAAATAATACACAGGTTCATATGTTCATGTTTTTATTTTAAACATGTGCAAGGTACAGTGAGTAGGGTGGCCGTGCCACTGCCATTTATAAACCTTGTATACCTTGTCAGCTGATACCAATGCCAATATCAACATTGTCTGTCAATTGCATGATAATCGTGCATACAAGCTATTCAAATAGATGCCTATTAGTGCCACTGCCATGCATAAACATACCTGTTATCTTTCATACAATACTGAACTATTAAAATAATGGACAGATTCATGTTTAGAGAAAAAAAAAAATTTCAATTTTTTTTTATTTTTTAAAATTGTCTAATCAACCAAAAATTTCACGGACCCCCTGCAGTACCTCCGCGGACCCCCTAGGGTCTGTTGAAGACCTCTGCACTAGAGGAAGAGTCAGAGGTTCACCAAAGTCAGCAGGATTCATCCTCTGGGGACCATGAATGTATGCACCAAGATTTGATGGCAAGTTGATTTCAGTCAAACAGTGGTGATACCGGAGGGACCAGAGACACAGAGATGCCACTAGCATGGCTAAAACAATGAGCCGTGCAACAAGAGAGTTGGGAGAGAAGGAGAGATGTCGCAAATTAGAAATGAAAGTATTTATGTGTTGTTGGTTACGTCTTTTCAGAGTGTCCAAGCCAATGGCGCGGTGACAGAGTCTAAACCTGCTGTCAAACGAAACCAGAAGACTGGAAAGAAGCCAGGTGGAAAGAGCGGCAAAGAAGGGTCAAAGAAAAGTCACAACTCAACAGGTGAGACAACGTTTTTACAACAGCGAGATGAGGGCCTCACTTCCTCCCGGATTAAACTGTCCTTTCTGACCTAGCATCTGTATGACTCAAAACCAAAGCTGTGACTAAACTTGACTCATGCTTACAGTAGAGGAACAGACTCATGCAGGATTTTATTAAAATGTGGCAACTCTAGTAAGGCCTACATAACTTTTCTCCTCTGATGAATTCTGAATTCTACTTCTTCTTTTTAAGCGTTGCAACACCTTCAGCGTGGTTTCTGTGGTATTTCTATAGTACAGGTACACAGAGGGCTGCTTTATAGCAAGCAAGCATCCGTTCAAACTACACATAGGGGTTACAAAGGCAAAGGCCATCTCTGTATTCTTTCCTTCTCTCTTTCCGGTGCTGCTTCGATGTGTAAAGTGGTCTTCATCTATAAGCTGTTTCCAGTGCAAAACGTATCTTTTCTCTGCCCTTATTACTGGTCTGTTGTGAAGTAAATGTAGAACAAGCAGTATTTCCGTCCGTGACTCCATAAGTCTGCCATGTAGTTTTGTGGTGGCGTTGCGACAGTGGGCACATGCAGAACTATGAATCACTCTGCATTGCTGTAATGACCAGCTTTGCTGCAGCAACTCCTCAACATGACGCGGATGTCTGATATCAACATCCCTGATATTCCAGTGGTCAGAAAGTTATCAAATGTCAGTTTTTTCCATTTATATTCTCTTCTTCCTCCTCTCTCAGTGCATCCCCCACCAGGCGCTACGAGCCCACCCATGGGACTCCACTATCTGGACATGCCATGCAGGTCAGATAGGAGGCCCTACCTGGGCAAGTTCTCCACCCTCCCCGCTCAAGAGAACACAACCCCGGGCCGACGCACGGACATTGCCACCCTCCCTGGTGGAGCGACGCCCATCCACACCCACCACCAGCGCTGGAGCAACCCAGGTGACAGCAGTCTAGCCTGGGGGACCATCCAGCACACCTGCCGCAGGCCGCTGACAGAGTATCGCGTTTACTCCCACGACTTCCCCTCGCCCCCTGGGAAGGAGTTGGAAAGAAGACAGCAGCAGGCAACGGCCCAGAATGACAGCTTGAAACAGGACTGTAAACCTCCGATTCCCCCAAAGGTGTCGCGATCCGTCACAGATGTGGACCTGTCAGAACCAAAAGTAAGTGTCGACTGGTTGTTGTGTGGTATTGAAACCATTAGTTAGTCCTTGAAAGAGATCTGAGCGTGCCCTGAGTCTGCGCTGTAACGACTCTGATGCTCAAAGGGATAGTTTATGTCGTTTGAAGTGTGGTTGTGTGAGGTACTTAACCATACACAGTGTAGTACCTTTAGATGACAGTTTGGAGAAGCAGACACAGGTCCTTGTTGTGAGGACATCTGAAGGACACATTTGTGTGATTCAGTTTGTAATTCCTTTCTAAATTAATCTTACTCTCCCTTTGGGATCCGATCAGTCAGCTGCTTTTCAATACAGCAAGTTCAATGGTCACGCTGTGCTAATACCACACAATAGAGCAGATTGACCTCAAAGCCCAGTGACTTTACGTGCACTTAACCTCTCTCAAAGACCTCTGCTGATTCCCAGTGAGCATGTGCAGAGGGCACGCTGTCTGACACAAAGCAGTTCAAGCTTAACATGACTTGAGAGGAAATAGTCTACGGTGAAAAGGATGGACCAGTGAAGAGATTACAGAATCCCTGTGGATCTATAGTATTGTTGATTATTGGGGGTAAAATGTCACACTCTTAAGAGTGTATAATTCATGGTGTAGGCTTTGTACTCCATCTTTAAAGCTCTCCTACAACTCCTGCAAGTCCATTCTCTCTGCTCACTTTTAAATCTTCCTTTTGGCCTGTAACGTATGGTCAATCAAAAAGACATTTTTCAATCCTAGAGATTCTAAACACGCCATAATTTTACAATTTATACTATAAACATATACCGAAAATATGATAACTTAATTTTTTATTCTATTCTCTCCTCCACTTCTGTTTGAAAACAATTTTAAACAAATCAAACTGATAAATCAGAGGACCGTTCCTAACAAGGCTTTGAAATATTTCAACAAAGATCGGGTGACTTGTTAAAATTGTGGATATCTCATTTTGAACTCCTCAACTGAACAACAGCTTCTCCAGAGAGTCAAGAGCCCCTGAGGTAATAGATTACAAGCCTTAATCTGGATTGACGGGAGTTTAGGGTTGATTGCAAGCAGTGGGATTATGCAATGGTTTTGTCTTTAGAATTTCCTTTTCTACAACTGATTGAAATCCCCCACAATATAAACACAACAGTAAAACCCCCACATGACCACATCAGAGGACAGTAATGTAGGATGCTGCTGCCTCTCACATTCAGATGACGCCATGTTTTTAAGGTTACAGGTGGTTATTTCGTGATCAAAAACTAAAAAAATCTTCTGTCGAAGCATCTCGTCTTCATGTTTTAGTGTCCCTAAGACAAATTAATGAAATATATGCACATCCATATTAGGAGTAGAGGTAAACCGGAAAGTGTTTCGACACAACTGAGTTGCCACTTTCAGCTGTTCCTCTGTCATACATCGAGCACTTCCTCAAAAGTATTGACCCTGCATTAAGAAATGACTGCAGAAGAAGACTTACTCCAGCATCATTTACCATAACCAAGTTCCCCATTGCTATTAAAAGAAAGAAAATGAGGAATATCGACTTTTACATTTTTTTAACATGTTTTTCTTTCTATTTTTTCTATGAAATAAATACAAATAATAGAATAATTATATTGTTAGTTTCTTCATGTGGATGTCACTCTAACCATGTTACATTAGGACTCACTAACTCTGAGCAGTAATGCAACACAGTAGCAGATATGACACAAACTCATCCTCACCAGGATATCTCACATCTTATGCAAAACAAAGACCTCAAACATAAAACCTATATACAGCCATTCCTGGAAGTGGCGTTTTCGTCGAGCAGGCCGCAAAATGCAAACTCAAGCACTTGTATTTTTCCCTTTCGAAGCGATACTGCTTCGAGAAGCTCAGTGTCAATTGCCTCACATCCTGTGTGTTGTAAGGAAGTGGGCCAGCCAGGCCATCAGACAGGCAGCCTCAGAGTTAGTTAACGCTTCACTGTCAGGAGAGTGGGGTAAAGACAAGAGAAGAGCAAAGACTGAGATTTGACAAGAACCTGAAAAGAGGGGAAAATGTTACATAGGGTGGCCTCCAACGTGTCAGACAAAACAAAGAGCAGCAAGCCGAAGGTAGGTGAAAACCAAAACAAAATATATATAAATATATATATATATATATACCGACATTTATGTCACTTGGCACAGTCACTTCACAAGTGAGTAGTCGTTAAATTTAATCATACAAAAAAATATTAATGAAAATGTCAGTTTTAGTTTTGAAGGATGTAAAGAATTGTTTTTATAAAATACTGAACCCTAAAAGACTAGTTGACATCAGTTGATGTTTTTCAACAAATATTTACAGTAAACTGTATTTTCCAAGTGAAGTTTCATCGTTCAAAACTAACAACAACGGTAATATATACAAACGATGCAATAACATAAAAACTATATTAAGGGGAGAAGAATATAACTTTGAAAAGAGACCCTTTAATTCTGCTACTGTACTTATACACGGTGGAGTAAAGTGTCGGCCTGTCAGATGACGCTGCATTAAATTAATCCACAGAGGGTGAGTAGATCTATTGATCTACTCATTTTCAATATTGACATGTTTGCCAGAGCAGCTGTAGAGAGACGCATTTTCTCTGTGCTGCCACATGATTTGATACATGACCACAAATGTACCACATATTTTACAAGCTCTCATTTCGAAACAATGTCGAAACCAACTAAATATCTGCTGCATATACCTGCATGTATATATATATATTGAATACTGGAGGTGCCTTTCATTTGCTTTTATGACCAAAAAAAATGAGGAACACTGTGGCTTTCCTAAATAGACAGTATTTAAGTAGATATAGACAGCTGAACCCACTGGAAAGCTTCATATTTCATCAGAAAAATCCACTCGGGCCATAGCAGGTTTTGAGCTTTGAGAATACTCGGACTATAGGACTCACAAGTGCAATAACTTGATGTTATGCAACGCTGTTAAAACTCGCTACACAAACCGTGCCAGTTCTCTCTATGACATCCTTTTGTCTTTTAATCCTCCCCACAGCGCTCCACCAGCTTTGGCAGGTTTGAGGGTCTCAGACATCAGGCGACACAAGCCAAACCAGAGGAAAATGGAACAGCCGCGGTTCGTAGATTTGTTCTCATTTCATTTTTATGTGCAAAAGAAAAACGTCATATAGAAGAAAGAATGGTAGCAGTTAATTGTCAATAGCAAATCATTGGATAGAAACATTCGCATTTAGGATTTTCCCCCCTTTTGCACACATCTGTGCAGCCACGGTGCTGTGAGGTCTTTTGAAAAACAAGGTTCATGCTGAGAAAAAGTGACGCTTTTCACCAGAAGCCCCACGATGCGATATTATCACGATACTTGTGTGATGATACGATCTTATCGCGATTATATATATAAACAATCTGCAACATGCTGGGTATTGCTTGAACATATACTGTGATTTGTTACCTAATAAACTGCAAATTATGCAGTTGTCAACATATCCAGAAGCTATGGTGTTATATCACCAATACTTTATACTCTGTGTTTATGGAGCAGAGATACAAATTGTAGATGGGAGAAATATGAGGTTCTTTAATATCACAGTACTACTACTGTATGTGTACTAAACCAACTCTCTTTAAACAGCTCACAGAAGAATGTGAAACTTTGGACCCGAACAAATCAGCCGGACTTGGGAAGAAGATGAAGGCGATTTCACTGACCATGCGCAGAAAAATGGGCAAAAAACACAGCAAGGCTTTTTCTGAGGAGACAGTGAGTCACTGGAAAATACACACATACACACAGCCTCCACGTTTTACTTAATTACTATCAGGTAGAAGGGGTAAAGCGCTTTGATCATCCATACTCTTAAATTAGTAATCAAAGGTTAGATTACTATTTTATGTATACCATTCAACAATTTGTGAGCACAAATGTCGAAAAACAAACAAACTTGACATCTGTCACATCAAGTAAAAGTCCAGACAACAATCTGCCTCATTTACAGCAAACCTGTGTTGTTTTTCTCGCGAGTTTTATCGCTCTCATCTCTCATAAACCCACATCCTCAAATATGAAACTGCTGCTGGTGAGAATATTTAAATGACGCACCTCACTCTGACCGACACTGAAAAGCACCATCTTGCAGTTTTGTGTTATAATCTAACAGTGATGAGAGATAAGATGAACATTTGAGTAACTTTCACAACCTACATCCCTACCTGAAGCGCTCTGTTCTAGCTTCCTTGTAGTCTTTCACTTTCATGTAGATTTACTTGATAAGTTAACCGGACTTTGCACACTTTTGTACATCATAAGATAGATAATGTCTCCCAATTAAAACTGCACATCTTTTCTTTTCCACGCAGGTTGATGACACAGACAAAGACCCAGAGGCAGAGGCAGAGACAGAGACAGAGAGTGGCCCTGCAGCTGAGAAAAACGCAGCGAAGACAAGCAACTCCTTAGAGAGTCTTTACAGTGGCCAGAGCTCCTCAAGTAAGTATCTGCACATACTGCATGAACTGCAAGGCTGGAGCAAAGAGTGCTGGGTTGTTTGAGCCCACATAGTGAAAGATATGTGGGGTTATACAACAAATTCCACCCAATGGAAGTCAGCTGCTGTATGAATTAACCAGTAAAATGAAGTGTTATGAGACAATCACAGCTGTGTAACCATTCTGTGTCACGTTGCGTTGTGTTGGTTCAGGCGGTGTGACCAGTGAGAACGGTTCTGGTCAGAGAGACAGCCTGAGGCTGGAGGAGGACGGCTCCTATCAGGGACAGTTCTGTGGCAGAGCTCGCGTCCACACAGACTTCGTTCCCAGTCCGTACGACACGGACTCCCTCAAACTCAAGGTGAGACTCAACAATGTTTATGTACAGCGTACACAAAGGCCCTGATGCAAGACTTCATATTCATTCACTGTAATTGTTTCCTAGGTCGGCGACATCATCAACATCATCAGTAAGCCTCCGATGGGCATCTGGACGGGCATGCTCGGCAACAAAGTGGGCAACTTCAAGTTCATCTATGTTGACGTTTTGCCGGAAAAAGAGGAGGAAGAGGAAGTTCCCAAGATCAGACAACAGAAGCTGTGCAAAAGACCTCGGCCCAAAACACTGCTGGAGCTACTGGAGCGACTGAATCTGGAGGTGAGGACAGGATCTCTCCCGGGATCACTCACCTGTTTTAGTCTGGTCACAAGTGAGAGATTACAGGCATGCAGCTAAAAGAGTTACCTCATTCTGTTTGCATCTTCCTTGATGTAAGCCGAATCTAACAAAAGAAATCGTTAAGTTAAAGCTCAATAGATTTAAATTGAAATGTTCAGAACTCAACCTCAAAGATGATATGTGAATACCTGACATGATTAAGGTGAATGTGTACACCACTGTTTTTTTTTTTTTTTAACTCAAGTACACCATGTGGTAGTAATCAAGCTTTTGTTGCAGGAGTACGCCTCAGCCTTGCTGCTTAATGGCTACCAGACAGTGGAGGACCTGTTGCACCTGCAGGAGAAACACCTGATAGAGCTGAACGTCAGAGACCCAGAACACCGACGCCAACTTCTCGCTGCTGCTGAATATCGCTACACAGGTTAGCAACATACCTAGCGATGACTAACACTAAGTATTATGAACCACAATTAACTACTCTTCAGACCACTACTTAATTAAACAGCGACATTGTCAACTAAAATGGGTGGATCAGCAATTAGAATAATGAAAGCACGGATGTGTGGGAGGGACGTCATCCACCCCACACTCTCAAAGTAATTACACTCCCAAAAAAAAAACCCAAGTCTATGACCAAAAGGCCACATGACATTCTTTCAATTTAAACCCTTTCACAAGTGTCCCCATTTATTGTTTCACCACTGTCCTGATAAATAATTTCACTGTCACTTTTACCTTTTTTATTGTCATCTATAGTCGTCATAAAATTCAAATGATCAGGAAATGAATGGTTGTATTCTTAATTAAATATTTGCTTTGATTGAAAAACCGCTCACATGAATTTTAGTATAGTTACTGGAGTTTCTCTTGGAATCGTTAAAGCCCTAAAATAGTCACATGACAAAATGAGTGCATAGGAAGAGACCGTTTCTGAACTCTTGTGATCGGTATCCAAAAGTGTAAACCACCCGCCTCAAAGTAGCTACACAACAAAACGCACCCAAAGCTCATCACAAATGCCTGACAACACATGTCCGTCCTGCAGCTTTGCAAAGCAAACGCAAATTGCTTGGTCATTGCTAACTCCCAACTACCAAACTGGAATTATTAAATAAGTGCCAAGCAAAGCAGCACACCCAAATATCCCTTTAAAACAAAGGCAACCACAACAAAGCATGAACTGTTGTACCAAACCTTGTTCATCAGCCAATCAGAAAGGAGCATTCAACAAAGCCCTGTAACAAGAGTCATTTTGTGACAAAGCTTTTTGTGACTTTAATGATATTCAGGCAGCAAGAGGTAAAGATATTCATAAAAACATCAAGTACTTTATTCTATACGTTTGATTAATTATCAGCTTTTTTCATTTCTGCTGGAGAATAAAAAAGGGTTTTGTGTGAAAGCGGAGGCTTTTGTGCTACACAGAAGAGAAATACATCCTGCGTGCTCTGAGAGGCTTATCTGCGATTTCCTGTTACTCAGATAGAAAGTGGTTAATGGGGCAGAAGGTGTTCCTGTAATCTGATGTCTTGAAGCAGAAGGCTGATTATCACTTGGTGAATGAAAACAAAACTAGTTTCCAGTATGAAGAAGGAACACAATCCACTGGCTAGTTGTGTTCAGTCTGTGCCTGTTGTATTGCCGTTGAAGTGCAAGTGAAAGGTCATTGTTTTTATCTTTTCTGTTTGCGCGCCAGTGTGACTAAACAGATGGCGGCTGCAGCAGCGTGACCTCGCCATGCTTGTTGACTCACATGAGACTCCAGTAATTTAATCAAGCTAAAGTCCATTAGGTTAGTGGTTTAGCAACCTGGACGGGAGGATTAGTAGCTTCCATCAGCGAAGTAGGAATATTAAAGAACGGAGGAATATTTTTACTCTGTGAAAGTGGAAAACAAAAGTCAAAGAGGACGTTAAATTATGAGGTGTCATATCTAAAAGAAGAAGAAGAAGTGTTTTGTAATGCTGTTTGCTGGGCCACACCTGCAGATGTTGTTTCAGTATTTGGGTCATTTGGCCGCTCAGCCAACAACACATCGCCCTGGTTTCACTGTTGTAGTTAATCAGGATTTAATTATGACTTATTTTCCACTGACTGAAGCACTCGGCACGTATTTCTTTTCTTCTATAATGCGGTTGGAAACAGAAGCTTGTAATATTATGACGTTTGATCTAATTCCATTTGCTTTGTGGCCGCGTAGGTGACGATGTGACGAGGGATGCGGAGGAGCTCAGATCCTCTCACAGTCTACAGGAAGAAGACAGCGACTGTCCCAGAGACTCGGGCTGCTTCATTCCATCTGAATGTTCAGACAGCAAAGAGGAAGCAGAGCAGCACAAAGATGCTGTGGACTCTTAATGTAACGGATACTTCGACAGCTGGAATTCAGTGTCGGGTGTTTTCTCATGACGGGTGGTTTTAACAACTTCCTTAAAACATCATGTAAACAAGCTAGCCACTCTTAGTCAGCTTTCTAAATGTGTGATAAGAAGAACAAACAATTCGAATTGAAAGCTCCACCTTGAACAGTCTTGAACAGAATGTTGTTACTTCTGCTGTCACTGCTAATACCAACATTCCAGTTAGAGAAAGGGTGAAAAGTAACACGAGCCACGGTTTGCCGGGGGCCCCCAAATCACTAAACCCGCCCCTGAAAAACACCAAGTCACGGTTATGTTAGTATCAAGTCATACACCGATAAAATACTGCTTGTGTCGACTCTAGGGAAGTGAAGAAGAGCCTGGTGGTAACGTTAATATCCAGTATCCGTGTAGCATTTGCTATCCGCTAACCACACGCAGACAGACAGCTTGCTTCATACAGTAGTTAGATCATTATAAAGTTGTACATTTTCTTTATTTTTTGTTGTTGAAAAAGTGACATTTTCTTGATTAATTGTCACTTGTATTTATTGCATTGTAATTCATTTAATGTTTTTTCTCTCAATATGAAGCCTTTATTTATCACATCTGCATCTTCAGCATTCTCATTATCCAATCTCAATTATTCAACATGCAGTGCAATCTTTTTTCTTTCTTTCCATTGAATGAAGTGATGTTGGTGAATTGATGATTTTGAAATGTAGCTTCTGGGTTTGAACAATGCATATTCAGATCTTGCCTATATATGATGCATACTGTACAGGAAAACACATGTTATTTTCTAAACGTGTGTGTTTGAATGAGTGTATGAGAGAGCCTGTGTATGAACTCACGTCAAAATTAGCATTCAACTGTTTTCCAACTTTTTGTAAATAAAATCAAAGGAATACAATTATGATTTGTCAGGATTATTTATTTAATCTACCAGTGCTTGATGCATAAACAGCCACGAATTAAATACAATGAATGAATAAAGAGTATAATATAAAAACACATTTTTACCTTGATAATTAAAATGATAATTAAAATGTGTTTGTAATTAATTCATTTTTTATGTTAATTTATTAAATATAAAGTTTTCTATATTTAAATTTAATCAAATAATAATTAATTTTAATATTTTATTCTAAAGTCAACCTTTTTAAGTTTTTACTTTAATCTCAACTGCCCTGTCTCTTCCTGGTTGGTTGAGAAAACGGACACGTCACGAAACTTTCGTGCTACATTGAATGTCGCTAGCGTTGATGGGAAGTGTAGTATAACGCTAACATCGGCTGCCATATCTGTGCCGTCTATGGTGTATGCCATAAACTACATTACCCAGCATCCGCAAATGAGTCATGCAACGTTGACGTGTATTTCGTTGGTAGACTGGAAAACTGCTACTTCGCAGCATCCAGTTGAGAAAGCCGACAGCTGGCTAACATTTAACCGCAACTTGAACAATTTAAGGGAATTCCTTAAGCGGCGGTTGTCTTCTAAAGTGTGTGACGATGTCCGGAGAAATTTCTCTGATTGGTAAGTTAACGTGACACTTGTTTTTTTACCGGTAGTTGGTTAACTGGTGACTGGATGCTAACCCAGCTAGCTTGTTTGGTCCACCTCACCTTGTGTTGTACCCGGTGCCACAGGTTCGGTCATCCTGGCTCTGTTCCTGGCCGGCTACCTGGGCCAGCAATACCTGCCGCCCCCCACACCGAAGGTGATCGGCCTGGATCTGGGCACCACCTTCTGCTCCGTCGGCGTCTTCCATCCGGGCAGCGGGGAGGTGGAGGTGATCGCGGACGAAGAGGGCAGGAAGAGCATCCCCAGCGCCGTCTCGTTCACCACCACCGCGGTGCTGTCCGGACACGAAGCCGTGGACCTGGCCGACAGCAATCCTCAGAACACCGTCTACGATGCCAAGAGGTTCATCGGGAAGATATTTGAGCCGGAGGTCCTGGAGCAGGAGAGTGCTCGGTACCCGTTTAAGGTGGGTCATGGTGGGGGTTAGTTCAGCTGACTGAATTGGTGATTTCTGTGGTGGATCACGTGTGTTTCCTGGCGTCACTTTAACACACTGGTGTACATCATTTACACTCCTCAGCCTTTAAGGCTCAGATATACACACAGTAGTTGTTTTTAGGGTTGTAACTATCGATTGATCTAATCTCTAGTTTCTAGTGATTTGCTCCCAGTCTTTTCTTTTTAAATCTCTCCATCCTCACTAGTTTCTTTGCGCCTCTTCCAGGTGATTAACAACAATGGAAGCGCAGAGTTTCTGCTCTTCACCAACCACACCTTCACTGTGAGCCCGGAGTTCATCGGCTCCCGGCTGCTGCTGAAGATGAGGAAGATGGCCGAGCGGCAGCTGGACGTGGACATCCGGAAAGCTGTCATCTCGGTGCCCGCGGAGTTCGACGAGAGGCAGAGGAACTTCACCGTCAGGGCCGCCAACCTCGCTGGTAAGTCCTTATTTATTTGTAAAGCATTACATATACAAGCTAGTAGCTACACACACTGCACTAGTAATAAAACTGGCATATGGTGGACATCCTTTGCTCTGTCTTGCAGGCCTGGAGGTCCTGCGTGTGATCAATGAGCCCACTGCTGCAGCCATGGCCTACGGCCTGCACAAGGTGGACGTGTTCAACGTGTTGGTGGTCGACCTCGGGGGAGGAACCCTGGACGTCTCTCTGCTCAACAAACAGGGAGGCATGTTCCTCACCAGAGCCATGGCAGGTAATGTGTTTCACTGCTTCACTGATGAGAGATGGGAGGTGATATGAGCCGACAATAATCAGGTTTAGCATCTTTAATCTTAGGTTTAGCATCTTTAATCTTAGATTTTACAAAGCAGCATTTGTCTGAATTGTGTTGTTGTTGGAGGGAACGGTGGCCTAACCCTAAATGGACTGTTTTTCGGGGCAGGGAATAACAAGCTGGGAGGTCAAGACTTCAGCCAGAGGTTGCTCCAGTACACCATAGAGCGAGCCCAGCAGGAGTTTGGCGTCCCACCCACTCTCAAAGAGGACATCCACTGTCTCCGAAAGGCTGTGGAAGCCGCCAAGCTCAACCTCACCCTCCAGCCCAGCGCCACCGTCAGCGTGCCCCTGCACCTTCATACCCACGACGGCCCAGAGTCGGCCGGAGGCTCCGAGCCGGTTCTCTTCCGGGCGGTGATCACTCGCGAGCTGTTTGAGGAGCTCAACGAGGACCTCTTCCAGAAGATCCTGGCTCCCGTTGAGACCGTGTTGGCCGAGGGCCACCTGGAGAAAGCGGACGTGGATGAGATCGTCCTGGTCGGAGGGTCCACCAGGATACCGCGGATCAGGAGGCTGATCAGCGAGTACTTCGGGAAGGACCCGAACACATCGGTAGACCCTGACCTGGCTGTGGTTACAGGTGTCGCCATACAGGCCGGCATCATGGGCGGCTCCTGGCCTTTACAAGTGAGCGCTATAGAAATCCCCAACAGACACCTGCGCAAGACGAACTTCAGCTAATCTTTATTATTTATTAAGACAAAAGGGATGCCGCAGAGACATGCCACTGATTCCTGTTTCTTATTTCTCTTATGTGCAAAAAAAAATTACCAAGAAAAGACACTGTGACCTGAATGAAGACATGCAAGACTCGGGTTTTAAAAGTCATACTGCTTTCTTGTTCGTGAGAGGCGCCGGTGGCAGAAAAATGTGATAATTAAGTTTATGAAACACAACATTCCTCTTTGACAGATGGCTGCCGGTAACAGCTGCAGAAGGGAACCGCCCTGTTTTCGTTTTTAAAGCCCAGCTGCTTTTGTTGTGCAAGAAGCTTCGGCAGAAAATGACCCGTCGCGATCCTGATGAAATGTGAACGAGAAGCCTCCCGCGTATCTACCGATCCATTCAGCTTCATTGATGACGCTCATTCATGGTAGATACTGCAATGGTGTTCAATTCAGGGAACAACCTTTTTTAACGGACTTTCAGAGTAGCCAATACATCTTCAGATATTTATTTATTTATTCCCATTCACTGTGTGAGTGTGTGTCGCAGGCATGTAATGTATCTTTCCATTAAAGGTTGAGTGTCGTACCTGTTCAGAAAGCTGATGTATATTGTTTGAATGGAAGTGTAGCAGTGAACCACTACAAGCTAGTGGTTCCGTCCGAGCCCCCTGTCCACGGAGACCTCGGTGTAAAGATGCAGTTCTGCACAAAAACAATGTTAAACATTCACTGCATTGACTATTCCGTTTAAAAAAAAAAGGGTGTTCTGCAGAATCCCCCAATAACTGATGAAGGTGCAGGTTAGTGAAAGCCTTAATGTTCATGCAGTACTGTACAATCTGAAGTCATTAGTATTGAATGAAATGCATTAATTGTACCCCGAGACTGAAAGAGAAGTCATGCTCAGTGCTGACTTCCACTTGTTGTGCAATAGTGTGCTTTATGTAAATGGCAGTGACTGACGCACTTCTATTTGTGCTTCTGCTGCTGTAGGTAGAGATGGTCGTCTCTGGACCAAGTCATCGCTTACTGGTGCCTTGTGTTGTTAGATATCAAGAAATGTGTCACTGTCACATTTAGGATGTTTGATGGATGCATGGTTTGTAGATAGCAGGGCGCCTTGAATTTAATTATTTTGTATTTATGTCACCTGCTCTTATTCTGGTAGACTGGTTGTTGTACATCCAGTGTGAAAGGTGGTTTCCATTTATGTCTTTGGGAAACATAAAACCCAGAACTCCGAAGATTCGATGGTCCAATAAAAACATTTTTCAAACCAAGAACTCAAGTCACCTACCTTTTTAATTTCTCCACTTCCTGTTTATTGTGAGTCTCATATTCCTGAGCAACATACAAAGTTCTTCACGCATTCATCACATGCTGTAAAGATCCTTCAGGTTGTTTTTTAATGCTGCTGCTTCACCAATTTCTAACCTGATTATCTTTCCTTTGACTGAATGAGGCTGAACTTGACTAACAAAGTCCAGAGACGAGAGTGGCCAGTCCACATCACCTTCGCTCAGTACCTCTAAATAAAGAAGGGGCGGCTCAGGTGGTAGAGTTGATTGTAGGACTGGTGGTTTAATTCTTACAGCAAACGGAACCACTTCAAAACTTGTGTATTAGATTTTTTTTTTTAATGTTTACTTCTGAGGCATAATACCCAAATAAACAAAATAAACAAAGCAATCCATTTGTTGACCCTGTGCTCCTGCAGCGTCCCTTCCATTAGCTTACAGCTTCATTTTCACATTTAGCACCCACTTCATTTACCTTACAGCAGTCCGTTTAACACCAGCAACCAACATCTGGATGCATGTCGTCTGTCAACACTTAAATACCACAGACTTTACTGCATTTCAGAGGCTTGTGTAGGAAGTGGAACGACTCCCAATCGTGACCAAGTTATCGTAATTATTATTCAATCACCGTCACATTGTTCAAATGTAATGCTTAGTTGGCTGGAGCATCTCACACATTGGTTCACCTTTTTATGTACAATAATACACTCAACGTAGCACTGCACACAGGGTAACAAAATAAATACCCAGCTAGAATACACACAGTACAGCGTTCACATCTTGGAAAACAAATCCAAACACATCCACATTCACCACAAACAGACAGCACACATCTTCACCCCCTCAGACCATTTCCACCAGTTGTACTGGGAGCACAGCTCACATACATCAGTTGATCGTTAGTTACATGCACTGGTCAAAGGTAGCGGGGGGGGGGGGGGCTTTTAGCCTCTATCAAAATGATTATCTTACATACACCACGTGAATATTTCACTTGGAGGAGAAGGCAGGACTTCTGTAAACAGCTTGATCGTGTTTTTTTTTGTTTTTTTTCTCTCTTTATATATAAATATTAACGTTAGTACTTTTATGAAACGCAGCACAGTGGAGTGCTGAAAGAAGGCAAGAGCATAATGAGCCGTTAGCTTTTAGTCTCGTGCTGCGATTAAGCCGTGTAAAACGCCTCGTTGAAAAGAAATCCATCTGCTAAGAGAAGAATATCATGTACAGTGGTTTAAAAACAAACTGCTTTGGAAAATTAGCTTAAAACAACAAAGAATCTGGAAACGCATCTTTAAAAAGAAGCTGGCGGTGGTAACTCAAGAGGGGCCTCTCGGACATTTAGATGCGAGAGAGGAGGCCACAGATTTGGCGAATCCCATTAATAAAAAGTGCGCGTAGTCCTGTGTGAGATACAGTATGTCTGACAAGCAACACACAAAACTATTTACAGAATGTACACAAAGCAACGGGGTGTTTTCTCTCCATCAGATATAGCAGTCTGTCAGTTCATCAGTAGGACAGGACGAGGAGTTCAGGCTTCACACCGACATGAACAGGAACGACGTAAACACAGAGCGCCGCCGCCGGCGTCGTCTCCGTCTCACTGCAGCAGATCCACACAGGCCGAGTCCCAATCACTGGCTGATGCCCTGATTGGTGTAGTAGTCGTAGCCATTGTCCGAGTACAGCTCATCAGCACTGCCGGCTCCATTCCCCACCTCTGGAGGGCGCCAAAGGATAAAGCAAAGAGAAGTCAGGGTGCTGTGTGATGACGTGCACTACCGACACATCAGTTTGCAAGAAAACACTCAACTTGTCCAAAGAGATAGAAAATAAAACACAAAAGAGTTGAATGAATTGGAATGAATGGGAGAATGATGACGAGAGCCGGCACTGATGTGACTCACCTCTGACCCCCCAGCACTAGAGGCTGTCAAGACAGACTGGGGCGTCTATAAGCTCCCCTACGCATGACGTGGTCTCCAGCGGGAGGGTGGTGGGGGAGGTTTGGTGCATGAAGGGTTGGGTGGGTGGATGAAGGGGAGAAGGGCATAGTGGGCAGAGAAGTTGGCGGGTAACGAGGGATGCAATGGATGCATGGAATAAAAAGGAAGAAGTCACTGCTGGAGGAGGAGGAGGTGGTAGCATGGACAGGAGGTGGTGCACATCACACAGGCCGCTACTGGGCCTGACCTTCAACGGGGAAAGAGAGGAAGAAGAGGAGCGAGAACATTCACACTCAAGACAGATGCATGCTGGGATGCAGAGACATGCTAGCTGGGGCACCTGAAACCCAAAATGGCTCATTCCTCATCTTTAACTTCAGAGTTTTTTGTAAATGATCAAATGTGAAGTAAAAAGACGAGGTATCTGTTTCGGGGTTCAGGAGCCCGAACAACAAACAACAAAACATTGAGGAGTGACACACGTGTCTCGTCCCTCTCGTCTTACCAGAGAAGATCAGTTTCTCCTTCATGACGTTGAGGTCTCTGCTGGACCTCCTGACTGCGGCGCTCAGCATGATCTGTTCAGGGTTGTAGCTGCGCATGCCGCTCATCCGATACCTGCGGGGGTCACATTGGTCAGGTCAGAGATCCTCTAGAGACAATCATGACATCACCACATACTGCTGCCTCTGCTCACAATACGCAGTCCAGGGTCAAAGAGGGATAACATCTACAGTTTTAAACTTTGTGTACTGGCCTGACTCTGTTTAAAAGGGAATTAAAAGTGTTTAAATAGTTCTTTGAGCAAATCTCTGAATAAATGCATAATTTGTTAATAAACAACATTTTCCAGAAGGTAAGTGGTCAAACGGAATAATCAAAGAGATTTGTCACAACCTGGCAACCCGAAAGTTGTTTTAATTAATGGCCTAATCTGTTTAGCATTACTAAATGACACATTAGTCATTAATAACACAAATAGCAGCCACTCTATAGAGGGGGCCTTGTTAAAATGTAGTACCCAATATGTCATATTATTACAGCGTGTGCTGCAATTACACATTTGCAGAAATACAGTCTCAGAATAGAGACATTTTATTTTCTGCTGTTGGAAATATCTTCTGAATTAATGCAACATGATTAAATACGGAACATTTTGCTCTATTCTGTGTTCATTTAATCAACATGTGTTAGTTCCACTGCGTCCTTGCTTTAATGAAAAGTCTTTATTTCATTACTTAACTGAAGAGCATTAGTCACAATGAACTGTGACTAATGCTCAGAGGAAATTAGGAACAGAAATGCAAACAAGCGAGCTCTTAGTTCATCAGCGTCCACAGAAGCCAATCCTGAGGCACTTCCCCTAATGGATTCATATCCATACTTCATTCTGGACGTTAAGTCGTTTGGCTTAATGAGATGGATAGTAAATTTAGAAACTCATTGGCGTCTTAATGCTGTGGATATTTTGCTGTCTGGGTGGGAAGCATTAACTCTATTTAGCCCACAGGGAGGAAGACGTGAGCTCCTCCCTCTAGAGGAGAGTGGCAGCAGTACAACGATTCAGGTGAGACACAGAGAAGAGAAAGAAAAAATAAGAAAATCATCAGAAAAAATATGATGGAGTTTGATTTCATAATAAAAACAGCAAACAAAATAAAATAATGGAAAAAAACGAGAGAAGGCGAAAGAATGCATCGAACAAAAGAATGGTGGCTGAAGATGGTGACAGACAGAAAGACGGTGAAAGGAGAGAAGACTTTGGGTCGGAGGAGGTGACCCAGTTACCTGATCATGTGATAGCTGAGAGAAGATGCCAGAGTGCAGCAGAGGAGGAGAAGAGCATGCACATCAGGCAGAGGAGAGAGGACGAGGCAGAAGGACAACGAAAGGACAAAAGAAGGCGGGAGACAAGAGAGGTCAGTTCAGAAGCCAGCTGAAGCTACTGTAGAGCTCATCCCCCCCAAAAAAACAAAAAAAGACAACAGGAGGACAGGCCATCTGTCTCTGGAGTGTCACAGAAACAAACAAAACCACCCTCTCTCCTGCAAAAAGAGGAGATACTGGAGGAGTGTGAAGGGTTTACACATTTTAGTTAAGAGAAGACGTCTTATCTGGTGCAAGAACATCAACAAAATACACCATAGCAGCTTGTAAAACCACATAACACACACATTTCATGTTGTGTTCTTTCCAGCTAGGTCTTTATTGGCAAAACCAATAAAAAAAAAATGTATCAGAACAAAAAGGGAAGAGTGTAAATATGTATGAGCTGTTATTCTAATGATGTGTTGCACACAGAGAGTAGAGATGTGAGTGAAGGGTGCTTGTTAAGGAGTAGTGATTCGTGGCATGTACGCCGCATGTGTGAAACAGGAAAACAGAAGAGGCACACACACAAAACAAAAAAGAGCAGCCTTCTTTTCTCTCTCCAAACATCAGAAGAAAAATGGAGAAACGTTTAGCGTTAAAACTCACAATAATGACTTGACAGTTATATCATCAAGTGGCTGTACTTACTTCTGGAAAATGAATATTCCTACGACTACAGCAAAGGAGATGAGGTCCACAGACACCCACATCAGGCAGTATTCATTTGGTCTCTGGAAACACACACACACACACACACACACACACACACACACACACACACACACACACACACACACACACACACACACACAGTGTTATAGCAGAATCCACCACAGGGTGGCACTATACACCAACAATACAATCACTTGTGTGAGCGGCAACATCCAAACTGTCTTGTGTAATTCTTCTGCAAACACTTTTTTAAATATAACTATTAAAAAATATAAAGGGTCTTTTAGATGTGCATTCTTATGAAGATGCATTCAAAACTTAAACAAAATCCTTTACATCATGTGAGGTAACATACGATGAGAACCTGTAAACGATGTCCAGAGGATACATATTTGATTTCACTGGCCTTAACAACGTCTAATGGCAGACTTCACAGTGTCAACATACAGCACTGCAGATGCCCCGACAGCTTAAACTCTCCCTGCACCACAGCGGGGGGGGCCGGGGTCCCGTGCACATGTTGTCACACAGAGTCCCCCCGTATGGTGCTACAGACGGGGACACCAGGCCGGTGAAATCATACCAGATAGGCTCAGCGTGAGTGCCAGCCATGTTGGAGAGGTTTCAGGAGATGACTGAACTAGAAAAGCACGAGTCATGCACTACAGGATACAGTGATGATGATGATGCTCGTCTTTCCACTGTGCTGGGACCTCGGAGAAGTGTTGAAAAATCAGAGGATGGCATGCTCAGTGCAGGAAATAAACAGACTTGAGTTCAGTTGAAAGAGGGGCTCCCTTGTTGGCATCACCTGCTAAAATGTAGTCATGCAGGAGACAGGTGGTCATCAAATACCATCTACACTGAGTCAACCTACGGCCAGTTTGATGAGAGCTTTCACATTTGCTTTTAGAAAACATCTGTTACCAAGCAGATCTTTTGTGGGCTAATAGAGGAACAGAAGAGGGAAAAGAGACTCGAACTTTATCCACAAAGAGACAAATAAACATTCTCAGGTACAAAGTGGTACCTGAGCAAGTTCCATACAAAAGTAGAAGAAATAGTGTCTGTGGTCCTTACCATGAGCCAGATGGGGTAAGGCACCTTTTTGAGTATATGCGAGGCCTCTGAGGAGACTGACGACACCCCGCTGCACCAGAGCACCGAGTACAGCCAGGGCTCGTTGATGGTGTAGAGAGTGAGCTTGATGCTGCTCTCAGAGAAGTGTCTGAAAGCAATCACACACATTCAGGCATGTCTTTAAATATACGTCTGTCTGTTAAGGTGCCAACCTGATAACAGCATCAGGTGTGTGTGTGTGTGTGTGTGTGTGTGTGTGTGTGTGCTTACCCAATTTCCTGTGTGCTGGCCTGGTTGTATCTGAGCAGCAGCCTGCTGATGCCGTACTGTTGGAGATTTTGAGGACTCAGTTTCTCCATCGAGGTCTGGATCAGACCGGGTGCCAGCTGTCTCACCTGATCTCTGTGATCATCTGGAGTCCACATCACCTACACACAGTCATCAGCATTAATGTAGTGACGCGGTCTAAACGCACATGAATAGGTAACGTCTCCTCATACAACGGTTCTTATGAAAACTTTACTTCTCTTTCTCTTTACAAAAGCCAGCAATGTGCCAATTTCTGCTCGTCACATGCATACAGTCTTTTCAAAATAAACTTTTGTCTTCACAGGAAACAACTCAAGTTAGGTTCGGGCAACAAAACTACTTTGTTATGTTTATGAAAAGATCTTCATTTGGGTTCAAATAACTATGGAAGTGCCCTTACTGAAGTATGCAAGTTATGTGACAAATGAATCAACGTTGACGTTCTGGTTTCACTGAGGGAACGTACAGCGGCCTGCTGGATGAAAGGTCAGTGTTTTTTGGACTCATCCACCGCTCCAGCCGCCCTGTGTGAACTATTGCAGTCTTTATACTTCCTCGTTACTGATTACAGGACAACACGTGAAATGATTTTGATTTCCATCACGTTTGCATAAAAAGATGTTCAGAACACTTAGCCAGACATCATGCTGCGGAGAGGACTGAACACAATGTGGACCGGGTGTATCGTAGTATTCAGTTCAGACGTACTGACCAGGCTCTGAGGAACTCCCGATTGCTGCACAGCCTGCAGCGTATCATTGATCCAGCTGTGGTAGCAGGGGTGCTTTTGAGGAGGTCTCCTCAGCCGGAAAACCACTGTGCTGTTGTGATAGGAGGCCAGCTTTAGAAGCTGCTCCAGGCTGCACACACTCTGGTTGGCAATCAGAGTCTTCTCACGCGGGGACAGGGTGTGCACGGTCCAGAAAGGGTCCTCCTGAAACACGGGGAGAGAGCGGCACGAGGACGACGATCACAGACAGCAAATACAAACAGTGGAATATTTTCCCTCGTTTCCTCCACATCACGTTTCGCTTCACCGCTCCTCGTCAAAGCACACAGGAGAAGAAGGTCAGATGCTTCTAATTCAAGTCTACATTGACGTGCTTCCCTTCACCTCACCGACTAGAAGAACACTGAAGCTCAGACATTTTAAATCCCAATCAGGACGGATTAGGACATGCTTGGGAATATAGAAATCAGACTCTGACAGTGAATTGTCATAATTACGCACAGAAGTAGTGATGCAATGTGCTCACGTGCAATGCAGATAGACTGAGACGTAGAGTGCAGAAAACAATGCAGAGGCCTCACAGCAAGCTGATCTCATAAAACATTTTTATTAGAAACAAAACTACACAGTGAGTGTGTACATCTACCGATAAGAAGAAACTCTCCCCATATCAGCTTTTGAGTCAGTAGACCGATATAGAAATCTACTTGACTGGAGGGTAGCGTAGAAGGGTTAAAGTGGTGCACAGCAAAGTAGCACAGTGCACAAAAAGCAATGTATCTACATCACTGCATCTCGCCCCACATGTATACAGATGCTCTTCTTTAGTAACAGAATGCAATGGTAAATGCATTGACGTGCAGCTCAAACGAGAATACAACAATGGAGCTGGTCATCACATGTAGGAGAGCATCATTTGGTAGCATTTCTAAACAACTCTCATTGCCAGAGTGCTTTTATCCTGTTTGGCCCACTAGTACTTCAAGCTAGTTGAAACAAACAATTATTTTGAAGTATTTTTGACCTTGATCCACTCTGCATTCAGGAGAGCTTCTCTGAAGCATTAACGGAGCTCAGTATGTAGATGAAACCAGGGGACCAGGACACTCGTGACTCGAGGGGCTAACGACCTTCATCACACATCGCTGTACAACAAAACAAAGCTGAAAATGGCTTCATCAGTAACCGAGCCCTACCTTGAGGAACCACTGTCCCGCGTTGAGTTGCTGCAGATCCGTCCAGTTGAAGAATGAGGCGTCCACCATTTGTCTGTCGGGGAAAACCTTCTCTATGTCTGTGGTCCTGCGCAGGGTGTGGTCGTGCATCAGGAAAGGCACTCCATCCTCACTAGTGGTGAGGGGGGGGGGGGCAGAGTTATAAGTGTAAGTCAGGCTGTTTAGAACATTCAGCATGAGACAGTGGTTACGGATTGGTCAGAGGGTGCTGGAACAGAGTACTGCGTGTTCATGGTTTGGCAGCAGTGTTCATCTGTAGAATCTTCTATAACCTCATTGACATCAAATACATCGGATCGCTAGGCTACAGTCGCTCACATTTCTATGATAACAATAATAATAATAATAATAATAATAATAATAATAATTCAAACAGACCGTTTACACTCAGAGGACTCAAAAGGTAACGTTCTCTGTAGATCATGTTTAGTTGAGGAATAAAATCTCTCAAATTGATATTATAGTTTTTAGATGAGAGCGGAACAGACAGGAGTTGGTTGGAGGGTAAACTCTTGAAATCACATCAAACAAGAGCAAAGGAGAAAGGGTGAGTAGAGGAGACAAGACAAGAGTTTGGCCCAATCGTGGGGTTGTTTTTTGCTCGATATTTGAAAACCAAGACTAAAGAAAAAAAACCTCCACATTTCTCAATATTTGCCATTCAAATTCTTTGCTGAAACATAATGCCTTTCCTGTGTTGCATGTGTTTGGTTGTGTGTGTGTGTGTGTGTGTGTGTGTGTGTGTGTGTGTGTGTGTGTGTGTGTGTGTGTGTGTGTGTACCTGATAGTCACATCAGCCTCCAACCCTGCGACGTTCATCTGCAGAGCTCTCTGGAAGGACCACAGTGTGTTCTCTGGAGCAAGCTGGATACACACACACACACACACACACACGAGAAAGGACAAAAACAATCACTACATGGAGTCCTGTAACAATGACCTAATAGATGACTTTACAGGAGCCTCTGCCACTGTTAAGGAAAAAAATGATGCTAAAATATGAATCCATAATAATTTATGTTTATCTGTCAAGTAGGTTCTGCTACAGAGTCAAACATGAACATAAATGAGGTGTATCGCAGATGTATGTGAGAATAGACTCCTTCCTCCGAACACAAAGGAAAGCTGTGAAATAAATAGAGCATCGTTGTGAATTGCTTTTCAAATCTTCAAGTCGAGGTTATGAGCACGTCGATAGGTTCAGCATCACTTACTAGAAGAAACCCTTCCTCAGAAACCCTGGGAGTAAAGCTTATGACTGGGAAACACAGGATAGGAATGATGCTGGAATCAATACAGAGTCCTTATGGGAAACAAAGTCCAGTCATGTGACCGAGTTTCTCACAGCCTCGCAGAGCCACTCCTAATTTTAGATTCCACTGCGAGGATCGATCGCTTTACAACAAACACCACAAAAAGCAGGGTGTGTTTTTGAACGTGCGAGTGTCTGTTACGAATAACCAGAAATCCGCCTTCATTTTCCTTCCAAGTGTTGCGTAATACTGAGTCAGACATTGTGCCAAGTACATAAATCCTTCTTCAGGCAACGTCTAGAAGCAATAACCATCAAATGTAAAGAACAAAAATGTGCTTATGTGTGCATAGATGGGATCTTAACGCAGCCTTCGTATGCATACTTATCCAGCAGGCTCCAACAGGCTTTTAAACAAAAAATCTAAAAATCAGATCAGTGTGAGCGAGATGCTGTAACAGAAAAGAGACGGCAGTACATCTGATCATAAGCAATCTATATTTGCTTTTGATGTCAAGTCTTTGTCAGGCAGAACCACACAAAATATATCCCTGCCATACATCAGGCAGTCAGAGCTCCAGGCTCCCACCGGGTTATGTTTGTGGACTATTTTGAGTTGCACGAACACAAGGTCGGTAATAGACCAGAATAGCCTGGGTAGTGCAGGAGAAGAAGAAGTTATGCAAAACAAAAGGAACAAAACATCTGGAAGGGCACGCACAGTTTCTCCTCTGCCTTCACCAAATCACAATCAAGCCTGAGTGGTTCAGTGTCATCAACATTGCTGATGTAAGGGGTTTTGCCATCTGTGAAGCCAGTAACAGGTAGCTAAAAGGGTCCAGGAGTCAAAGCATATGTAATATAATGTGTTTAAAGTGGGCCTGTTTCATATTCCCACATTGGATGATAAGAGGTCAGCTGACTCACCATGGGGGCTCCCTGGTGGCCAATGACATCGGGGCGTTGTTTGAGGGTGGTGGGGTCCATGATGCAGGGGGAGGTGATGTACAGGGGCACCAAGTAGAGGCCCAGCAACACACTGAGGTACAGCAGCACGACCACCACCTGGAACACTGGGAGAGGACGGAGGACAATATAGAGGTTGAAGGATGAGTTTAAGAAATACGCGTATTCTCTTTCTTGACGAGAGTCAGATAACAAGCGCTGCCCAAAATCAGCCTATCAGCACCTCAACAGCGGACTAATTAATATTTCTCTTGTTTGTATGGTCTGTACAAAAATAAACACGTAAAAATGACAACAGAAACTTGCACTAATAACATAGTTAGCAGCTTGTGACTAATGCAGTTCGTATGCCAAGCTAGTTTCCATAATTCTCTTTCAATAAACATCCAAAGCGCGGACAGAAAATAACCAATTAAAACCACAACCAGAGAAAATGGATTTCAATATTGGATGTTTTGATTGGAACCTAGAGAACATATTTGGGTGATCCAGACTTCTTAGTTTCCAAAGAGATGTGTGATGCGAGTAGTTGCTGTGAATGTCGGTGATGTTCAGTACCGTTCATAGCGCTGCACAGTATCCAGCATCATTCATATCAGGGGCCAAGGAGATACACTTTCCCCTGCATCATCCCTCTGCTAGAGTGAGCGTCGAAGGCCGAGTGTCGACACACACACACACACACACACACACACACACACACACTGCAATGTATTCGTTTCAAGGTCAGCTCAGGGGTGGGGTTGAGTATACAACTCTTGTTACACACAGGGGACTCACAGCTTTCATCCCCACACACACACACACACACACACACGCTCTTTGGTATTCAGACTCTCTCACTCTGCATTACAGCAGAGATGCTTACGCAGAAGAAGTATTGCCTAGACTTTTCCATCTCATCAAGTCTCTCCAAAAGCAGAACCTTAAATGTAGCGAAGGCCTTTTAATGTGTTTAAATGTCTCCCACAGTACAAAGTACAAGCTGCCTTGTCCAACTTAAGGACGGTCATAAACAAGACGTGAAGTAAAATCCTCATAAAGCTTAAAGTATCTTTAGATTAATTCAGTCTTACTTCTGAAGACATTTCACGCTATCTGGCTACAATTTCTGAAGCAGACAATGAAGCTGCCGCATAAATGATACGGACTTTCAATTCTATTCTACCGACAGCGAGAGCTAGAATACACACTAAGAGCTGCTTATCCCTAGAAAGACTTGGAAAACAATCCAAGGTGTCCGGGCTTTGAAAACATCACATGAGCCCGTAGGAATGGCCGTTATCTCCGACACCCTGGGTGCAGGTCCTGGCCTCTGTCTACACGGTGTTAATCATTCACCACTCTTCCTTTACGTGTGTGTGTGTGTGTGTGTGTGTGTGTGTGTGTGTGTGTGTGTGTGTGTGTGTGTGTTTGTGTGTGTGCGTGCATGTGAGAGACGGGCACGGCAAGTAAGAGTTCCTTGTATTCTGTGTTGCAGAGGTAAGCGTACTTGTTTTTTCCGAGCGGGTGACCTGTCCAGCCACGATCCAAGACAGAGCTGTGACTGCAGCGAGAGCCCCTACATGCAGGAATGGACCTGTGGCCTGGACAGAGGTGTGAGGAAGAGGGGAGAGGTTGAAGATGAGAAGAGAGAAAGAGGAGATAGAGAAATGGAGACACATGGTTGGGGGGGTATGGGTAAGAGGATCAGGGTTTAAGAGAGATAACGGTGAGCAAAAGAGAAGAGAAATAAAGATACAGACAGAGAGGCATTGAATTACACACATTATCTGGGGTTAAGACAACAGCAGCACTATTCAGAGATAATAGCTATACTTTGTAGAAGCATGCACTTGGAACGGCATCAGTTTCAGTGGACTTGCGCGTCCACTTCAATCACACGTTCATGGTGGTGCAATGATCTCACAGGGACACACTAATTATAAGCTTCTCACAACTCCTTGGATATCGTTGTGCTGTTAATCGTTAGTGGGATAAATGCGGATCGAGTGTCTCGTCACCACAGTATATGCAGTTTAAATCATAACACTTTTTTTTCCATATACAGCAATGTTAAATATGGAAATATGATCACGGACATACAGTAATTCATGACACGAGATGTGTTTTCAAACAGTCGGTCCTGGACGTCTTTATCCAGGTCAAAACTGTTTTATCCAGTGCCCACAAACCAATGCTCAAAGTCTAGTTTGTTATGTAGGTGTATAGACCTCACGGTGTTTCACAACACTCTCAGTTTAGTACTACAACTTCAGCATCATGTAGCTGTCAAACGTGGCTTCGGGGCTAAACTGTGTTTCGGTCTGCTGACCTGCAGGGAGATGGGGATGACGTCCCACTCTTGCCCCCATGTTTGATTGACAGATATCACCCCGACAGTGGTGGTGAGCAGAGCAGCAGTCACTCCCATCTGCGTAGACAGAGAGGGAAAATCAGAGAGGCTGTCACTTTGGATACATGCATGAAACACCCCCACCCCCAAAATTAACCTCGCATAGCTCCCAGCCCTTTCACACCCCAAAACAGTGTTTGTGTTTGTTCTGCTGATAGAATTTTAGACCAGGTCATTGACTGGGCTTTCACAACCCTCCTGGGACAACACCAAGTTCAGCTGATCGCCAATGAACACACGCAGCCAATAGGGCCGACAGAGTGGTGTAAAAGCAGCCCCATCACAAGCACACAACATAGAGAAAGACACATGCGTAAACCTCACCCACCCCCCCTTCCACCTCCCACACAGTTGCCCAGTCTCACATTTGGCAACATTACCTTATGGAGCCAGTGCAAATTCAACTGTTGCCCAAGCGCAACGTGACAAAGTGCTAAAACCTGAAAAGAGAAACACACACGCAAGAGAACAGCTTTCAAAAACAAGTCTGCTGCTTCACAGATCTCAACATGAACATTCAAAAGCTGCTAAATCTCTGCCGAGGCATTAACGGTGATGTTTAAAAACCTCCACGGTGAATACTTGATGTGGGTCTGACCATTAAAAATGCAATGTAGGTGAAGCCAGCAGCGGTGGTGGCCAGGATGGGAACAGTGCCATCGCTCCACTGCCCAGAGCGGTTGTAGAGGAAGCTGCAGAGAAAAAAGAGAGAGAGTGAGTAACACTCCTCATACCGAGGGCTCACCTGCAGTTCATCATTACTAACATGTGTGAAGGCTTGGCACAATGTGTGCGCCTTTCTGCACTAGTCTTTAAAAGCATTTGTACTTCCTTCAAATGAAACCATGCCTTTAGATTGATTTAAATAAGGACACTATGGAATATTGACAATAACACCCTGAAAACGTTATGTGTAATGCTCAAAAGAGTGACAGTGGATGCATCGATAGATTCACATCTGCGGAGCAAAGACAAGTGTGTGAAATGCGTGTTTTGACATGACAGTGTGGCACTAATTACTTTCAAAGCCTTATCAGAGATTCTAGTGGCACAGAGCCACGGCGGGGTCCCTCAGCGCTGAGGCTCCGAGCCCTTTGTGAATACATTAATACTTCAAATGGACCGGGACACTCCCTGCAGCTAAATCACTAGAACACATAAGGGCAGGGATGTCACCGCGGTCTGTGGAAACCTCTCAAAAGGATTGGCAAACGTCTGCCCACCATTACTGACATCCAGAGATACATAATCACCGGGATTGATGATGAAAGTCAACTGGGGTGCGATATATACACACACAGAGAGAGAGTAAGAGCGGTTAAGATAGGGACTATTACAAGGTAAATGAAAATAACGAGCGAGAGAGAGAGAAATATAACCCACTACGTAAGGAGAGGAATGTGAGAAGAGGCAATGGAAGGTAACAGACGATAAGAAGAAGAGGAAAAGGTGACATTGTCGAGGTTACTGAGAGCAGGAGGAGAGGGGGATGGGAAAGGTAGTTGGAGAGAAAGACCAGCATATGTGACAGTATGGGACAAAGGCATTTTCAACACACTGAACTCGGATTAAGTACGATTTCAACCAACACGCATCACATTTTACCATTAGATTGTAATGATTGTAATGCTGGAACTGTGTCCATCACAATCTTAATGTTCAGATGTAATCTTGCACAGGAACATGCAATTTAAAACAGATGCATTCTGCCAACAGGTCTGGAATAAGGATAACTTTTGGTAGCTTATAATGTTTTCATTCACAAACTTGTGGTCACATGACAGCAGCACGAGTCCTTTACAGTATAGGAAAGGTCGGGCAAGCCATCTCTGTTATGTAACGGTGTTAATCTGTGGTGGGCTGGGTGGTCTCCGCTCAGATTAAGGCAGAGGACGGATTAAACTGATGATTTAGGAAATCCACGAGCACGGATAGAAGTCATTTCCAGACGAAACAATATGGTGTCGGGCGTCTGGCTCCGGTTTGACTCGACGACAGACGGGAGGCTGTGCACTCACCGGTTGAACTCATTGTAGTCATTATGTGCCTCCGACCAGAAGTAGAACCAGACCAGCAGCAGACAGAAGGTGAAGAGGAGGATGAGGGACCACAGCAGCTCCCACTGCACACACACACAAATAAATACAAGTCAGCATTTTTGTGGACCCACTATGTTTAATTAGAATTGACAAAAGAAACACAGAACAGCTCTGAATGCTGCAGAAACTAAGGAAATATCTGTAATTATTGAATTCTGCTGTTGTGGACACAAGGCTATTCTGCTGAATGTCTGTGGGATGAATTTGTATAACTTGTGTTGACAAGCACCACAGCAGAGTTAACGTTCTACATGGAGCACATGGTGTGAAGCTGGCTGCTGACCTTTGGAGAGAGTATTCCCTGATACACCTTGCTCATCATCGAGGAATTACTTTTAATAACTTCACAAGCAAGCCGACTAATTACCGTCCTCATCCGCGATGCACTTTCGTGCTACGGCAGATATTAAATTGGCTTCGTCTTCAGATACTGACCGACAGAAACTCACCTCCAGGCCGTACTCAGGAGAGGTGCAAGCAGGCACGCCCATTTCTATCTCTACTTTAAAACACAGCTATATTCAGGACTTCAAGTTTGTCTAATCTGGACAAACGGCATCCATTACAGGGAAATCTGTTCTCCTTCTAAAGAGGAAGAAAAGTCAAATCACTTGAAGACGTCAACTGTGATTGTAGACATTCTAGATTTCTCGTGTCTAGCATGTGCGGAGAGGAAGAATAAGAGTATGCACACATGTGGCTAACAGTAAACATTACATCAATACATTGTTTAGAGCCAGAACCATTAGTCCGTTATTTGATTTTATGATGCATTTAGATTGGCATTTATCCTATGATTTATCAACTACAACAACAAACATTCAGTTTCCAGCTCTAGAGTTAGAGGATTTGCAGATTCCTCTGCTCTACATCACTGTAAAATGATTATCTTTGGGGTTTGGACTGGTGTTCGGACAAAACAAACTATTTAAAGTTGTCAGTTTGAGCTCCAAGATCCCTGTGATAAATAAAACCATGACCCGAGAAACAAAACAAATAGGCCGATCCATATTTGTTAGTTGGCGGTTAAATTTCTTTGAAAAATCCCATGCGTGTGTAAATTGTGTGCACTGTGGTGATCAAGATAAAGATATCAGATTTAAAACTCGATTGTTGTGTGTGCCGAGGATCAGATTATTATCCCCTCGGCGCACGCACACGCACACGCACACACACACGCACACACACACACACACACACACACACGACGGCCCCGCCTGACCCGTTTATATCAGGTCTCGTTCCCAGTGAGTTTGGTTTTTGGACAAAATCTAAAAGCTTTTCAAATGTTAAATAAGGAAGTTTCAATTCGTGACACAATCAAATTCCACTGCCTGGAAGTATTTCAAACAGAGCAGCATTTTGAAGGTCATGTTTTGGCTTCAAGCTTGTTTTAAGAGCTTTCACGACTTAATAAAAGACGTTTTAATTCATTTCTGGGCATGGTTTTATGGCATAGCAGAGACCGGTTGTACGAAAAAGGGAAACAAGCCCGAGGGAACGTTGATTCGATCCGCAGCCTCTCATATTTGGACATGGCCTCTGAATAAATGTCAGACATGCAAGAAAAAAACGTTATGCAGGAAGGTCCGCTTACATCAGATAATATGGGCACCAGATAACACAGGCAGGAAATGACCCGCAAAAGTAAAAGCTAGAAAATTATTATCTTAAGCAAATGCTGTTAGACTCTTCGGGTAGTTGTATCTTTTTTTTTTATTGTATTTATGAAACTAACAAAACAATGTTTAACCCTAAACACATTTACCTACATTCAGGTAAGTCTCAATCCATTCCAGCAACACAGAGGTTACCACGGTGTGACAAACAACGCTGCTCACTGATGAGAAAGCGGTGACCCGTGGTTCCCATGGTCCTAAAAGTCTACCTGGAAACACCTCGGAGTTACGACCTTGCTCACCGCCAGCCTTTCATTAACCCTCCCCCCCCGTGAATTATGTTGGAATGCAGCCTGAGAGGCCCCTGAGAGAGCTGTGATGGTGTGATTTGGTGAATAAGTTGCCCTGATGTCTCTTTAATTAATTAGATCACCTCACAAACTGAATCCTAAAGTCATCTCTGGGATCTATAAAGTGGCATTTTGTCCTCTACGGACACTCGCACTGCTGTATTGTCTTGAACATTATAGATTTCTTCCTCTAAAACTAAGACAAACAGTCCTGTTTGAATAACTGATTTTTCAGATTTCAACTCCTTGTTCGGTCTGATGTTCTCTTCCCGTCTGCCGGCTAACTTGGCAGCAGAACTCGTCCAGCCTGACATGACTTGGCCTGCCCTCGTGACATCGCATCACCATTCTGCATGGCTGGCATTTTTATCCGGGCACAGCACCCCCCATGGCACGGACTGACAGTGCGGCAACAGACATTTGATCAGAACGCCACATTCACTGGGAGTGTTTAAAGAGCATTGTATGCCAACAGTCATCCGTGCTCCGGTCTAATAATTACTCTGACTGGTGTTATAATGTTCGCCCCTTGGAGAAATCATAGAGGACCAGTTCTCCTTTGGAAGATTCAGAGCTATTGAGTTAGCTTTAATTCAAATCAAATTAAGAGGTGCGCTGTAATTAAAATGTTATTCAAAAACTTTGCAATGACTTTTCAAAACCATCAAGGACCTTTCTGTAGCAGTAATGTTGTCCAACTGCAGAGGCTAAGATTACATTTCTGAAATAGTAAACAAATTTGCTTCCAACCCCAGAAATATTATAAAAAGGATGGAAGTCGTAGAATAAGCCTTCAGAGAACAAACTCCACGGCTAGAAATACAAGGATCGTGTGGATCAAGGAGAAATTAATTGCTGCAAGTATACACTCGTATTAAAATCTAAAAAGCATATATTCCTGAAAACCCTCCACTTAAAGTCTCTGTCCTCATCAGATATATTCCTTAGCGTTGTTCGTTTAAAGCATTTATGAAACATGCAGACAGCCCTTTTTAGGCACTTACCAGTCAAATAGTGTTTTGCTTAGAAATATATTGAGTGACTGCGAAAAACACTAAAAATAGCGTGAAAGTGATCATTGCTGACTCATCCCTGTGCAGAGGAAATTGCGTCAGTGATTTAACATCTGGGAATAGCAGACAGAAAGAGAAAGAGAGAGAGAAAGAGAGAGAAAGAGAAAGAGAAAGATAACTTTGACCTTTGTTCAGAAAGACTTTAAGACTTAAGTGACAGCGGCAAAGAATGTTGTAGCAAATTAAAAAGCATATAAAGGTCTTTTTACAGGTGCCGTCTGTTCTGAGCCAGCACAGTGCAATAAGAGCGAACACAGTTCTACCTTTCTGTGTCCCTCAGTGGCTCTCCGGCCGAAGTTTGTACTTATCTCCACTTTATGGCTCACAGTCAGTCCAGTCCAGTGGATTATGATCCAAGCAGCCAATAATGTATTTATTAAATAGGCTTATTGTATTTTTACACATCCTTCTGGGATGGGATCTTTTTTTAAATTTATTACATTACCAATAGTCCTGTTGAGCTGACACCATCAAGCTATTTAACCAATGTTTCATCACATTGCGAGACCACAGCTCCAAAATACTGTGTTGTGCTCCTTTACGTTCCACATGCTCAGTCTTCCATGCCCAGCATCAGATCCATCAGAATTGAATGTATTGAATTTAGTTCATGCAAATAAACTTCCTTGGCGAAGATCATTTAAGTTATTAGTTTTAGTAAATATACCGCATATCTGAAACCATGTGGTTTACTGTAGTTATAGTATTGATGTACAGAGATATGCAATAAGCTGACTTCTAAACACTTAACATTTTTGTGTAGACTTTCTGGCGCTTTAAATGTGGTCCTTTGGGACAAACCAGCAAAATGAGGCATTGATTTTGTAATGGTTGCAGCCGGGATTTCTCTCATATTCATTTAGCCTACAAGAGCAAACGCTAATGATAACGCCAACATGACTGAACTGTGCGCTCTCTCCTACCAAGAATGCTTCAATATATCAAACAGGATCTAGGCTGCAGTGTAGTGCCATAAACAGGATGGATATGATTCATGTTCAGCATGATTATTTAAACAAAGCAAGAGGCCACACAACATACATTGATTTACATCTGGTTTGCAAGTCAACCTTGTCCCAAATATAGAGGATGAAAAGTTCTTGTGATAAGAAAATAAATACATTCACACACAAAAACTAGTCATCCTGCGAATTCATCACCAGTCAAGTTGTGTACTGCTGTGTACTGCCGTGTACTGCATGTGTAAATTCATACTAATTGTCAAACCTGCAAATGCAGCAACGGTAGCTTTCTGTTGCTTGACCCTGACCATGAGACGGAGAAAGAACACAGCTAGAGCTACCAGAGCATTCGTTTGTGGAGCTACAGTATGAGCTGACATTTAGGCATGTTTTGGTTTGTGCTGGTTACTTCCTGTGCGAGGACTTCATGGAGAAACCGTCCTTGCATCATGTACAGTGTGTCACCATTTACAGTTACACGCTGTCTGTTCTCTACACCGATATCACAACACAACTTTCTCAACACTTTTGGTGCTTCTGGCTGTGATATAAACTCCATGTGGGTTACAGTTCATATCGACTATATGACGCGAGTAGTCATCGGAGGGAAGAGAAGTGGTTACTACTGTATTGCTGTATAATACCCAAGCTCAGAAACATGTAAATCAGACCAAGTTACTTTACTTTACTAGTTTATTATCCATTAACTCAATGTAATGTGCTTCCATAGCATATTTTGATGGCCAACATGTGGATTTCCTATCTACTAGACTACACACAATTAAATGATGCATTCGATCAGACAGCTTGACTCTAGTAAGCTGCCATCTGACAACACTGCGGAGAGAAAATATGCTGCGGGACGGTCCTGAATAAATTCGCTGACAAACACAAAGGCCGACAGATACAAACAAACACCAACATGTTGGCGTGTGTGAATAAACTCATGTGGATGTAGGAGAGATTACTTTCAGCTCACATTGGCCGTTATTCTTTCGCTGACGGTGCTTCTTTTCCCTGTGAGGGCCTCCATCTTCACCGGATTTGACACCGCGGTCCCTCGTCACATTCCTGAGCATATCCAGATAAGTCTCTGGCATTTCATAAAGGGTGTGCACTGCTTTATAGTGCAGCCATACCACACCTTTATAACACTGAACCTCCAGTATCTCCACTCCTTTTAGCAGAGTGGAATTACAAATACAGGAATACTATAATAGACTACTTATTCTTTAGTAAAATGCACGTAATATACATGCAATCCATATGAATATTACCATTTCCTACATTAAAACGCATCTGAAACCACCCATCACACCCTCATCATGTAGTCAGCTCATGGGATTCATTGAGGCTTATGACCTTTCAGCCAGACAGCTGGAGGGACGAGTACGTGATCAAGTACACAAAATGAAGAAGATGTCCTGTAGAAATGAATACCGGTCCGAAAACTGAAATCATGCAAAAAAAAATAAAAAAATACCTTAAAAGGGAACAATGTAATCATAAACCTACAACAATTATTTCTATTTTAAGCCGGCTCATTTGCTCCCTGTCCAGGGATAATGAAGACCACGAGATAATTGTACGAAAGGAGGCAGAGCTGCTTTGCTTCTGTCTCAGAAGCCTTTGTGTGACTGAATGGTAAAGACGGGCTAAATGGAAATACTTTCAATAATTACTGAGAGGCCAGATCGGCTTGCACTGCGTGACGTGGGCCGTCTCCCTACAAAGCACCGTGAACACAGACGGAAGCTGCCGCAGTAAGACAGACGGTCAACCTGAATGGCTCGTTATGTGAACAAAGATGAAAAAAAAAGGGGAGAAATGGCCCGATCCACTCGTAGATTATGAATGAGTCGACAGTTATTTCAACAGGAGATCCTCAGGTCTCACGCGTCTGTGATTCAGGTCCAGTAGCCGATACCCGTCACAGTTTGTTTACTGGAATCGTTAAAGATGCAGTCCTGTATGACATCACCTTGATCTGTGCTCGGAAGCATCCTCAAAGGAAACGACAGCTCTCAAATAAACAGACAAATAAATAGCGGATCACACAGCTCTATTCCACTATTCTTCACAAGTAGACACACTTAGTAGTTGTAGAACACCTCATTGTGGCTCAATCACTCACTACAAGTTGAAAGCCTGTTGAGGGGAAAATATCCACTTTCTGAATCAACTGAACAGAAATGGACTGCGTGCTTCTTACACTGGGGTCAAGACGAGCGCTGTGCAACCGCCACACGGTCAGAACAAAAGGATGAGCACCGGGAACAAAGAATGCTGACTCCGCACTGTACCATCAGTCGGACTGAAAGACAACCAACAGGAAACAGAGCTACACGGTGTCCAGTTTCCTGGAAACAGGAGGGGAGGGGAAATAAAAATCTATATCTCTCTTTATTTGGTTCCGCAATGTTTTTTATATGATCCAAGAGCTGTGAAAAATACAACCACCCGCCGGGGTTATTTGGCTCCGTCTGTTTACACACCGAATGTAGCTTGAATGCACATCACGTGTTTTCTGTGTGCGGAGTGACACGAGTCTATTGTCTGTGTCCTCGGGTTGTGCTCGTCTACAGTGTGGTATGTGGGCATAAATAAATGATCCAACCCAGTGTGTGTGTGTGTGTGTGTGTGTGTGTGTGTGTGTGTGTGTGTGTGCGTGCGAGAGAGAGAGAAACGTGCTGTGTGTTTGTTGCAGCAACAAAACCTGTGTGTCCTTCCTAAATACAGAATAGAGATAAAGGGAAAGGTCAGGACAGATTCCTCTTCTTGTGTCGGCTGCAATACTTATCCTGACATGCGCTTTATTTTAGGACAAGAAAAACTTAATATGGTGCACACTTTGGCTTTATCAAGAAAGTTTAACTACAAATTTAAAATTAGAAATCATGAAACATTGATTAATAATTAAGAATAGGCATACATTTAAATGTATAAAAACAATTTAAAGCACAACCGCCAGGCTCAAGGCTCTACACGAGACACAGGTACAGAGAATTAAAAAAAAAAAAAAAACACATTTTAAGGATAATATTCATAACAGAACGCAGGAGATGACAAACTACTGGAAGCAGTGGAGTAGTGCAATATCAAATGAGCCTCTATGTTGAAAGCTCAAGGTGATTGAGTGGGAGATAAGCCAGCAAGGACATATTTGGTCAAAGATAATTGTACATTCTTAATCAATGTTGAGAGACAAAAGGCATCTGGGGACCGTCAGGAACACAGATGGTTCTCTGGGTTTAATATGTTTACTCCTAAGTAGAACATACAGTAGAACTTTCCACCTCCTACAGAGACATCTTGTTATTCAGAGCTGTGAAAAGTCTCATGTTAATGCAACAACATGTAGGTGGTATGATGTAGAAAACAGATGAGAAAAACTTAAATTAAAATCCATTTCTAAGAAGGAATGTTATTTAAAAAGAGGCGGAAAGTGATCTCGTTCTACATCGATCTCCCAGCACAGCACAGTTATCATTGAAATGACCGGAGCAGGATGAATTACACAGAGATTGACATAATCAGGTCTCATTCACTGCCAACCTGAACACGTGAGTGCGTGTGCAGCGTTATCTTGTGAGATGATCAATAACAGCAAAGGAAGCCTCAACTCAAAGCTACAGGGAATAACCATCGTTGTTTTGAATATTCCATGTAACCGAGCTTCATACCATTAAATGTTGTTTTTTTAAAAAGGGCAAAATAAATCTGTGAGGTGTGAAAGATTCACAGCATTTCTCTGACTGATGTGGTTCACCCACTAAAGGGGTTTCCTCCCCTCCTCTCACCTTGGTGGTGTCATCGTGGGAACGTTGATAGCGCTTCCAGCGGCAGCCGTAGATCCCGGTGATACACGACAAACACAGCTGGCGCTCATAGACCTGGAGGGGTTGGTGCTTCACCATGCTACTTCAGTCAGTGCTGCTCCCAGAGCGAGAACATCCCACTGACGACCAAGAACCCAGAAAAAGCAGAAGAGAAATGTTAGCGATTACAACATGTTGAGACCAGAGAAGACTTCACAGAAAACAAAGTATTACTACAGTAGAGTGGCAAGTCTGGCACCTTGATAGAAAACACATGCTGACCTGAAAAGCAGCATGCTTTGACACAAAGCCCAGCCTAAAATTAAGACCGTGTTTCCCAGCGCCTGTTTCCACTGACAACTGAGACTGCTAGGAGCCCAGAAATCTATTGAACATCACATTAAATTACAGTGACCATGAATATATCACACAGTCCCTACATATCTGGGTCAAAACACAGCATGTGGGCCTCATCCCTCCCTTTCATGTCAGGGCCAGAGAGAGAGAAAAAAGAAGCCAGGCATAGAAAAGGCCAACAGGTGTAACAAAGGATGTTATACAACCGTGACATTTGAGCAAAACCCTTCAACTTACAGTATAAGAGAAGACAATGTAGGCTGCTGTGTACAGCTGTGACGGTTAGTGTAGCAGAGCAACACTGAACCCAAACAGCTCCACTACCCCCCCCCCCCCCCCCCCCCCCCCTCCCTCACTGTCGAGAAGCAGAAGAGCACCGTGGTACTTTAGAGAATACCCAGCATCCCCTTCTGATGCCTGTCTAATGCCGCGTTAGTGGCCATGGTAGGAAGTATCGCAGGCTGCGTTGGCTGTGAATAATCAGGGTTATAACTCTGTCCTCCCGTTGAGCGCCTGCTGATTCAGCACTGAGACTAACAATAATGATGTTATAGGAGCGCTGGCTGTTATCACGAGTTTACCTCACTCTCCGGGGACACGATGGAGCCCGCTGCCTCAGATCAATCTGGGGCTGAAAGTGCATCATTTTGATATGAAGAGCATAAATTAACTGAGCATAATTAATGAGATCAGAGTCAAACAAACATGATTAAAGCGTACACACAAACACGTTTTCCTGGGATCATTTTAACTGGTGATATTCCTCTAGCATATGGTATTTGTGCGTGTTAACTACACTGTTCCTGCTGTAATCAGGCTGTCTGAGGCTCTGGGCAGCTGCTCATTAGCAGCTGCTGCAGTGGCCATGCTTCCTGTTATTAGTAAAAACTGCTCTGAGGAGGACAGGCCTAACCCGAGGGCATCAGGAACATCGCCCACCCCAGCAGGACCACAAAGGTCTCGACGCCTTAAATTAAAAAAGTCCTCATACCGCGGCTGTTATTACAAATATCCTGCAATATAACAAACAACATTGGTACCATGCTGAGTGTTGGCAATGATGCAGAGAATCACTTTCTTTCCGACCGCTGGTCAAACACAATATATGACTGTGTGTTATTAATAATCACCTTATCTTACTCGGAGTCTGTACTACTGTATCCTGTCCTCATAAAACTGTCATGAAGCCAAGCAGCGATTTAGACCTTGATCAGATCAGGAACTATATAACTACCCCAGCACAGCAAGTACGCTCGTCTGATGCTTCTCATGAATAATTCATGTCTGTCGGGTGGATGGAGATCACAGCTTTGTGAGCACCGATTTTTCACTCTTGAATCCTGCATTTCGGTCAATGTGTTCGCACACTGACCGTTTACCTGCAATCGACCAAAGACTGCTCAAACGTGATTGGGCAATACTACTCAAAACAAGAAAAGGAAGCCAGAATGCTTCCGATGCCAAAATGTATTCATTTTTTGGGCTATTATCCAATATTAACATTGGCAGGTTTGACCCACCTGTCGTGTATGATCAGCAGCTCCTAACATCATGAACAAAACAAACATGGCTGCGTCTGGGCCTGCAGACCAAGCCTTTAAGAAAGAAAAGCTGACTCAGTAATTCTCCGTTGGCGTGTTCATCCAGGCAAAGTAACAACCACTTTCTTCCCGTCATGTTGTCACTTGTTGACAAATTATAAGGTTCAAACCCTGTATCCATAGCAATGCCTCCATGTTGTTACGGCTGAACGGCTCACGGGGTTTATGTGGCAACATGTTTACCTCTTAAAGCTTCTGTTCACGCAGCCACTTGTGCCGTCAAAGTCAAAAACACAATGACTGACGTACTTCAAAAGAGCGGAACATCGAACAGCCCTTTAATTAGTACTATTTGATGTGGATATTATCATAATGAGGCTTCAGATTTGTCACCTTGAGATTGAAGGCTCATCCGTCTTTCACTCCGTAGTTAATATGCCCCGAACCTCATCCGAGCTGTACAGAGAGGGGATGAAAAGTGCTGCAATTAATCCCTTTATCAGCATGATGTCTTACCAGAAACTCATCAGCTAAATGACCCAGCCAGCAGGGACAATTACATCTTGAATAAACGGCAACTAATTGGCAAAAGCCAAGTTAAATACAGCATGAGCAGTAATGTTCTGCAGTTGAATCTCGGAAAGATATTCATCCAGGAGTCTGCACTTGCACTCGTATCATTGCGGATGTATTTTGCCAACATGGATGTGACACCGCAGACCACAGTAGGTGTGACCACCATATGGCTGCACTGTCACAGTGAGTCACACTCAAAAACAGAGCCACAACAGCTGAGACGATCGAGTACAAAACAAGAAAAGACCCCGTTCTTCGTGCTTAGTTTCAAGCCCTTAAACACTGTTTGGTGCCGTCAGCCACGTTGCCCCATCGGGACTGAACTAGATTGAACAGGTGAAGTCAACAAGTGAAGCAGCTTTTCTAACATTTATGCGTTCTGTCACAAAGTTGTCTGAACGAGAAGAGAAGATGTGGGGGTTGTGTGAAACAACCCCCAAACAGCGGTTGTCATCCCCTTTTCTGCTGCCTCATTTCCTCCAATCAAAAGGCCCAGTAAGAGGAAAACAGTCTGCGAGGGAGGAAATGTTTCAGCAGTTTCCCAGCAGAGAACAGAGTCTTCTCCTGACCAGGGAACTAAGGTAGAGGCCACTCAGCAGACAACTGTGGGATCCAAGGCTAACCCACTAATGAGAAACAAAAGTTCATAAACACAACACAGAAGAAATGTTAAGAAATATATTTAGTCTTCTTCAAATGGGCCTCCACTTAATCTGCCCCGATCCCCGTCATGTTCAAATGCTCTGAATTGCGAGAATCGCAAACATGCACTTGATATCAAGTAATGAAGCGCCGTGGAGACTTGGCTAAACCATGCGGCATCAAAAGATGCTTGTGAGGGAGTTAATTAGTGACGCATGGATGATGAAGCCCATTATAACAATGAGAGAGTCATTACATCTGAGCTGTTACAGCTGACTCAGCTCCGACAGTGGAGTGGTCTTGCTGTAGAAGATATACAAAGTCTTGGCCTTGTTTGAAATGACGTCATGAATTTCATCCTTTGCCTTCCAAGATATGCCATCAAAGAATTGCTTTCATTTTGGCCTAGTGTCTTCTACAGTATGATGACAAAAATAATGATCAGACTGCATCCACCATCATGTGTTGACAGTGTTTAACAACACCCCAAAATAACACTGGACAAAGTAACACAAACATGTGGAAACCATCGAGACCTTCCAGATGAACCTCAGCACAGGAGCACACAGCATATTGGTGGTGCTGCATGTAATATATTAAAGCAGTGCAATATAAATGGAGCTTTGTTTATGCCAAATCAAAGTAGAAAGCCTCTGCATTACCCAACAAAAACAACGTTTGGCCTGTTTCCATCTAACTCGTAATGCAACCATAAATATTATCAGCACAGCACAAGTTATGAACACAATCCTCACCAAACCCTTATATAAAATCACTCCCATGAGTCAGTGTGGTGGGAAGCGGAGAATTAATGGCCACAGCCTGCAGCCCACAGCTCCAGTTCATCCAGAGTCCCACCACAAACCACTCTCAAAGTGTCCGCTCAGCTGAGCCAGTTAGCAACAACTATTGACACATCAGAGGGAAGGTCATCTTCCTCAAGCCTTTCAGTCCCGGGTCCACATGGGTCACAGCCATTGAGTCCACTTTGTTAGTGCCACAAAGGGTAAACCTACAGACAGGAGGGTGTTATGATGAGCAGTCTGCTCTCACACAATAAGATGAAGGGTGGGATACTGATTAGCCAACTGCAGGTAAGCAAAAAGCACTGAATTAGGTGCATCCTGGCAAATAAGCTCTTTGCTCTGATGTTAGGAAAAATGATGACAGGAAAACTATTCCCATGGTTGTCAACACTGGATGAAAGAGGGAGTTTTTTGTTGTGTACAAAAACGGTACTACAAATAGTTAGCTGGATTTAACTCATTGAGAATGAACTGGCATTGTGAAAATGTCTCTTATTATTTACTTTTATGCTCGAAAATAATGAATCAAACTCAGTATTGGCAGATAATAAACATTAAAATACTCCGATACATCTGGGGCAAAAAGAAGAAGGTGATTTTAGAGTTATTTTCCTTGGCATAATGAACTTGCATCAGACCCACGGCTATGCACCCAACTGTGCCGCCCTGCCAGCATACGACACATCTGGTCCTGCCAGCTTTCTGCTAGCTGGAATAATGAATATATTGGCAGTAATTCTTAATATTTTTTATCTTATAATATGCCCATGGGATGTATGCTGTAACGCTTGTACCATGGATGCATTTACGTCTCTGTTACCAAACAACCAGCTATTGGTCAGTAGCTAAATGGAGTTTAATGAAGTATTAGGTGTAGGCTACTTACTAACGCATGGGGGAAAGGCACAACCTCTTAAACATCTGTGGTCCGTTTTGGAGGTCCTTGACATGAATAAGGTTGAGATTGCGCTCAAAATCCCAAGAGTGCTGAATTCTTGTGGCTTCCATGTATGTCCATTGCTCACTTTAAGCTCCAATGGGAACTTGGGAAGCAGCGCAAAAAGTAAGAAAGTAGTTATAGTACTCCTATTCATTATATTGTCATTGTTTAACACATGCCATTTAGCTTTACTTTTGTGTGGCACTTTGTAGGCGGATGCTTTACTGGCGTCCTTTGATAACTCGGCGGTTGCATTCAGTGCCGTTGCACCTCGTAGC